AACTTTTAGTTTGACCGTTTTGGCTATAATTCCAACAAGTTTATTCCAGCTGATAAATTGGATATTATGTGAGATGCAAGACATGATAAACTACGCAGATGATGCAAAAATACGTGGGATCTTAGAGTAAAAAATTAGGGTATGATAACATGCACGCTACCAAAGGCACACTTAATCACAACGACTGAAACATTTGAAAAATTTGCGTGTCACCATGCCATTGGTCAGGATTTAAAATTGAAGCCAAAACACGTGCAGTTCAGACTTCATCTTCAACCTTGGTTTGATTTTTAAAAATCTTGAACTCAGTGTTTTAAGTTGAAACAAAGCACGTTTTAACATCAACACTCTTCATCGTTCAAGTCTTCATGCTTTGGAGTAATTGATTTGCTCTGAGCCTGAAGAATTTCAGAGAAAACACGAAGAACCCTAAAAACTCAAAGTTAAATTAAATCCTCAAAACAAAATATAAATTCTAGGTAAGAGAGGGTTATTGATCATTGAAGCAAGACGAAGCTACTGGTAACTAGTTTGAGGTGTAATTTTACAGTTATCTACCTTTTCAGTTGAAGCTCAAAGGTTCAACAAATGTGAAAATGGAATCATGATTTAACATGCTTCAAGGTGAAGTAATGGTTCAAACAACTTCAGATAATTCCGATAAGTGATTATGGGTGAAGAAATGAAGCAAAACGAAGTTGAATTTGGAAAATGAGTTTTTGGTTTTGAGAGGTTTCAGGCTTCAAAGAAGCATAGGTTTCTTGGCTATTCAAACTTGGAATTCAGTACATAATGCTTCTCTATTTACAGGAGAATGAGTTGAGGTCATAGTTTGAGTGAAATCAGATCCCAAGCGTGTGAATGGAGTGAGAAACTTCTAGATCCAGGTGTGTGAGAAATTGGTATAAAATGTGTGACTTGTTGAGCTCATTCAGGTCATTTTGCACTCAATGAGATGCGTTTAGTAAGAACAAGTGAAATGTACACAAGCTGGTGGTCCCCAAATGAAGTTTGCACGTGATTTTCAAAATTATAGGTCACAGTGTGAATAGAGTTCAAGTCACCAATTTCCCACTGAGGCCAAATGAAAATCCCTCGTGCTTTTTCAAATTTTCATTGAGTCAAATCTTCCTTTCATGGAAAGGAAGACAATGCAGAAAGAACCACTTCAATTGGATGCTTGGTGAGAAAATGGCAAGCTTGGAAAGTTGAGGAAAAACCATTAAAAATAAGGCCTAACATTAAGTCAAATAGGTCATGACCTAGTTTTATGCACAAATGACCTTTAAGATTTGAGGTCTTTGGAGCATGAATTAATGTTTGACCTCTAAAGAAAAGTTGTAGAGGACATCAAAAAGGATATTTGGCAAAAAGAATCGCCAATTTAGGCATAGGCATGCCATACTTGAACTTTAGGTCAATTTTCACTAAGTCCACAAAATGACCTTTAACGTCTTCAATTTTTCCATGACCTCCCAAGCATAATTGGCTCTTAACTTATGAAGATAAGTTAGAGGGGGTATCAAGAGGAGTCATTTGCTCAAAGAAGCACTAAAAATTGTTGAAATATGAAGAAGTTATGAAGTCTTGAACTTAGGCTTAAAATGTTGACTTTTTGGTCAAACCTCCTTGTACAAATTTGCAATCTTAGACTTTTTATTGCATTTCAAAGCAGATTGATGATTATATAAGCTCAAAATGATGTAATCTTGGTTTTCCTTTGATGAAACTTACAATGACTTGAAGAAACTTGTTGATGAAGGCATGAAAATAAACACATGAAACTTTAAAAATTCTTGAGAAACAAGTGTGAGGACAAAGTTCCTCATAGTTAGCTATACTTGTTTTAATGATGTCAAAACTTAGATAGGTAAAAAAATGTACTTTGGACGGTATCATTGTGTCACACATGCATACCTTATTCCTCTTAAGTCAAACATCAGTCAAAAGCATTGTTTGATACATATAGAAATTGTTCAATATATGCTCCATATAGGTTTGGTCATGTTGTCTAGCTTACTATATGGTGGAGTATCTCAAAAGTAGCATAATACATGAAAATATGCATTTTTGCATATTTTGTGTCTTTGAGTCTACTCAAACTCTGTTCCGGCCGACTCATACAGAAAGTATTTTGCATGGTCTACTCTCAGGAGTTCTCGCGTCGATCCTCCGTCGACTCATACTGTGTCCATTTCTGTCTGTCTAGTTTTATATGCTTTGTGTCGATGCATGACCTGTTTCGGTCGATGCAAGGTGTTGTTTTCTGCATAATCTGAAATTCGGGTGAGCTCGGGTCGACCCTTCTCTTTGTATAGGTCGACCGTTCGCGTGTTTTTGGTCAAATTTCTCTTATGAGAAACTGTTTAGGTGTCTGTTATGTTGGTTAATTATTTTTGACTTGTATATATATTGAGTTAGCTTATTCTTCAACAATAACAAGAAAAGTGAAAATAAACACTGATTTTGTTCTCATCATCTTCGTCTTTTTTCTTGCATTTTCTCAACAACTACACATAATCATTTTTTTGTGCATTATGCAATTTAGAGGTGATAACGTCCAAACTTAGGATTGGTGTAAGCGAGTTTGGGTTGAGAAGTCAGTGGGGTTTTCTTGAATAAAATCGTTAGGGTTTTGTCCTCCAAGAATCTTGGATTTTGGGATTTTTTTTGCACGAATCGGTCTATCACAGATTCAGCCGAGCGAAGGTAATCGAAGAACGGGTTGTTCTGTCAGTTTAGTAGCGGTAGCCAGAGGATTGTGAGAGGAAGATTCGGGTTTGAAGCGTTGGTGATTGAAATTAGCCGGACAAGATTTGAAGACCGTGGGGTTTTTCAAAGGGTGTGCCGTAATCGGAGGTTTATTCATCGCGTTCGAAGGACTTGATTCAACTTGAATCCAGGGAAGAGAAGGAATAGACTACGCATCAACAATTGAGTTTGATCGTTTGAATTCTATTGCTTCTCTTATAAATATTTACCAACAGATTTTATATATATATATATATATATATATATATATATATATATATATATATATATATATATATATATATATATATATATATATATATATATATATATATATATATATATATATATATATATATATATCAATTTTATTTTTAGAATTGAGGGCAGACGTACCCCGAGTGAGGACAACGGGGGAACTGCCTCAACAAATTTGCGTTCTCTCTTTATTTTTCAATTGCTTAATTTCTGAGTTTGTGTGTAAACAATTTAGTTAATCAAAATTTTGATGTGTGTAGTGCTGAACCATTTTTAGAAGCTTATTACAATCCTTGATTGTAATTGAATACTTAAGCACTTCACTCGCATATTGGAATTCACTTGCGGTGCCTTGCACACGAAGTGTTTGACTAATTGTGTGAACAACAAACACTTGTGTTGTCTTTTCAATTGGGTTATATTTTTCAAGCATTGGAAATAGTCCAACCTCATAGTGAATAAATTTTGGTTGATGTGTGTTCAAATTAGTGATTCTTAATCTCATTTTTTTTTCGGATTGCATAGGCTTTGCGTATATCCAGTTTTTTTCGGTAAAGGTTCATTTTAGACGAATATAGTTCCTCGACCACTTCCGCCTAAAACCTTTTTAAAACCAAATATTGGTAGCGCCAGACTCTGTTTTTAACAGGCGATCTATTTAACCCTCCTTCTAGATCTGCGTCATCGTCTAACAACAAGCCATCTAAACTTTAAAATATCCTTGATCAAATGAGGTTGAATAATGTTTGAGGAACTCAAACCATAACTGATGATACAATCACTTAAGGCTCTTGATTCCAAACCCTACCTTGCAAAATAAACAAAGGGACAAGGCATATATTTTTGTATTTTTATTAGTGGTTAGTGAACTATAAAGCATATAAGTACAAAAAGATATAAAGAAAATACATAAGAGGTGCTTGGTGATCTCTGCATAGGCAAACCCAAAGGTGAGAAAGTTAAGAAATAACCAAGTTTGTAATCTTAATGCATTGTAAAGATATAAATGAGGTGTGATCTTAGAGGTAAAAATTAGGGTATGACACTAGTGAAACAAACCTGCAAAAGAATGAAACTCTGCTTGCCATATGAAACCCTGATTCTCTAAGACCTCTAATCCAAACACCAAACCTATGTTGATGAATGTATGATGTATTTAAATGCCCTGATGGAGAGTATGCATATGACAAAAATGAAAAACATAAGCTATAAGATTTGAGTGGGAGGGTAGGACAAATTTGGGGTATGACACTAACAGTTAAAATCGAGTCAAAGTTATAATATACCTTTAGCACTAAAACCATAATTATAGAACTATACTCGAGGATAAAATAAAGAGTATGCACTCAATTTTCCATTTTTAATCCGAGTTTGATTATGTATTTTTGGTGAAAGAAGAATAGTCGGTTTGAACACGGTGAACACCAAATTTTCAATTATTCGAAGAAAAAAAGAGTGTGCATTCAATTTTTTTATAATCCGATTAATTACGAAAAAGATTTTGATTTGTGAAAATATGTTTGATTTAATATTAAAAATAAAATGCAGTTTTTGATTGTTTAATATTCTTGTTAATAATACAAAAAATTAATCAATTTACTAATCAATTAATCACTTAATTAAATCAAACAATTAATTAAAAAAATAAACATAGGGGTGAATTGGAAGAACAGGGGTGTGTGCAACGGATGAGAAGAGCCCAAGGGGCCCAAAATTGAAACCCTAGCCAAAAAAGAAGAGAGGAGTTAGAAACAGAGAGTTGTTGCTTCTCAACATTCTCTCGCTCTCAAATTTCCCTCGCATTTTCTCTTCTGTCTCACACACCGTACAACACTACCCTCATCACTTTCTTGCTTCTATTCAAAGATTAACAACAAAAACAACCACTCAAAATCAATTCTCTCCACTCATATCACACTACTTCGCTCCCTGTAGGTAGAATTATAAAACTGAAAAAAGAGTACGAAAATTCGCCGAGGAAAAGTTGAAGAATGGAGGGTGAAACTGTAGTCAATAACGTGATGTGCCTTTTGACGCACCAAGATGGAGCTGCTCTTGGTCCTACTATGTACCTACCTCAGAACATAGGTCCACAACAGCTTCAACTCATCGTCAATCAGCTTCTAAAAAATGTAACCTAATTTCCTACTCTCGTTTTTTATTTTTCATAATTTGTTTAGTATTCATTTTTCTTTAGCTTACTTTTGATAGATTTCTAATATCTTGGTGTAATTTATCTATATTTCAGATGATGTTGTATGTTTTCCAGTTTAAATTCAAAAAATTGTATGTTACGGATAGTCTGTATTAAGAGTCTCGCATCAGACAATATATGAATATAGGGCCATATATGAATATACGGCTTGAACTCGGGTTTATAAGTGACCCCAAACTTTTTCACGTCTTGAAATATTATGGTATAGATTATATGTATTAAAATTAATTTGATTGAATTTCTTGTCTATATTCTCAATATATAGGAGGAGAAATTGCCGTATGCTTTTTATATATCAGACGAGGAGCTTCTTGTTCCGCTTGAAACATACTTGCAGAAACACAAAGGCTAGTCATGTTTGGTTTCACACAAAGTTGTTTTTAAAATTTGTTCACTTGTTTGATTTTTACTAATGTTTTTCTTTTTCTTTGTGATGTTAATTTAACATTATTTCAGTGTCGGTGGAGAAAGCAGTGCCTATAGTTTGTCAACCTCAAGCTGTTTTCAGGATTCGTCCTGTGAGTCGATGTTCTGCAACAATTTCTGGTATGAAGATGTGATGAATTTTGTTCTCAATCATTGTAATGGCACAACGTTGCATGTAGAATTACTCTAAAAGTAGTATTGTATTTTTTTGCGAAATTATGCAAAAGTTAAAATGGAAACGTGGTTTGGTTTTTGAAGATTTTAGATTTATAGTGCATTGTTGTCATTTTCTTTGGAATTCATGTTGTTGAGGTTATTTGTAGGTCATGGTGAAGCTGTATTGAGTGTTGCCTTTAGTCCTGATGGGCGGCAGCTAGCAAGTGGTTCTGGAGATACCACGGTTCGATTTTGGGACCTTGGCACTCAGACACCAATGTACACATGCACAGGTGTGGTATTTAAAAATGATAAGCCATTCTTTGTGTGTGCCAAACATTATTTATTGTAATTAAAGCAAGAAACAATCATATTTAAGCATTTTTCTCACTGAATATCAAAAGTAATCAATTTGAATAGTTGGATTATGCTCACGATTCCATTGATAGAGAGAACTTCTTGATATATTGTGTAGTTTAAACCAATTTCAAATTGATGCTTAATACCGCTGGAGTATGCTATGGGAAAGGGATGGGAAGTAGTGAAACGAAACAAGAAGCAGGAAATGTGATATTCACTCCGTTGAGTCTAGAGCATAGCTGTATGTTGAGCTGGCTAGGAAAATGGGAGGTGTGAATTAGGTTAGGGGAAGGCTTAGAAATTTAGAAGTATGAAAATAATCAATTTCTGAGCAATGATTTGTGATTAGGAGGGAGGTTGCAACTTGCAAGTCTCTTCAATGTACTGCAGTTTTTTGTTTGTGCTGATTTGAAGAATTGCAGAGGTCTACCTCTGCTATATGAAGCCATTCTTCCTTACATAGTTTTGGTAGGAGGCTGCTTATTAGAAATGTGTATGTTAGAAGAGTCTTCATTCTCTTTTTTCAGTATCGGTTGATTCACATCATATTTGTTAACACGCATTCTTTTGTATCTTTTATCAGAATGTCATATATAGTTGCTTACATTTTATACAGGACACAAGAACTGGGTCCTTTGTATTGGATGGTCACCTGATGGCAAGTATCTTGTAAGTGGGAGCAAGTCAGGAGAACTTATATGTTGGGACCCACAAACCGGAAAGCAATCAGGAAATGCTTTAACTGTAAGTCTTTAACCTTGAATTCTAGTTTGCATTATGAAGTTGTCCCCTTTTTCTCTTCATAATTTTTGCATCCAAAGTGCATTGGTAGCAGCCTAATAAGCAGTACAGTGTCAGACTAAAGGCATATATCATCAGAATAGATGATGGTGTTGTGGTGTTAACCACTACATGTAGCCCAATTTGCATCAACAGTGACTGAAAATTTAGAGGATGATGCAACTATACCAAGTGGATAATAAAGATTACTTTGATTTGAATTAATAAATTGAAAAGATACTTGATGTTCCACTACCGCTTCCATCCATGTTCAGGAATCAAACAAAGTTTTTATTTTATTTTTAAATAGCAACTTGAAACTCAGCTATGAAGAATCACTTGCTGAAGTTAATGATTGTAAAAAGTAGGCATCAGAACATTGGTTGCAGCGGTGGCTCTTACTTTTGTTAGAATAAGTACACAACTCTTATTGATACTGAATTTATTTTGCTCATCTTCCCTTTCCCACTAAATTACAAATCATAAAATAGAAGAGTAGTATGCTTTATTAACAATAGGTTTCCTGAGAAAATACAAGTGTTAGGGAGAAATTTTAAAATGGCTTATCATCTTTTTTTGGGATACATCAATGTTGTCAAATACCTGTCATGACAGATTGCGGTGGCAGATTTTTTCCACAACTGCCATGCCCAACTTGTGAAGCATGGCAGCTTATAATGGCGTACTTTTGGTTTGGTTTTCATCCGTGGTCCGCCAACCGCAATCAGTAACACTGGGATACATACATACATTCATACTTGAAACAACCAGTTTGGTTAAGAATTAGTTTAAGAACACTTTTGTTTGAAGAATTTTGTACATCATATTGTTTCTTGGACAATAAAATCTGAGTATACTTATACAAATTGTAGGGCCATAAGAAATGGATTACCGGTATCTCTTGGGAACCTGTCCACCTGAATGCTCCTTGCCGCCGCTTTGTAAGTTCCAGCAAAGATGGGGATGCTCGTATTTGGGATGTTTCTTTGAAGAAATGTATCGTACTCAGTGGCCACACACTTGCAGTAACATGTGTAAAATGGGGTGGAGATGGTGTTATTTATACTGGGTATTTCTCCTTCTTTCCTTCCAATTTCTCTAAAAATTAGTCTGAATTTTTCTCCACTCAATTTTTTTTATCTTGCACTAGTTGGGATACTAGTACACTAGTTTTGCCCTTAAATCAAGCTTTTGCCTAGAAAGATGCTTCTTTTTCAATTTGCAAAGGACTCTTTATTTAGCCATTGAGGTTTTGCTTTTAGAGTATGTTTTCTCAACATATCTAGTATACTTTGATCTTTAGGCGAATTTTTCCTGCACACCCCCTGTGGGAAGTAAAACCCCATTTTTGTTCAAATTTCCATTTAATGATTTTAACTCATGTTTATCTTTAGATAAGCGGTCTTATTTTTACACTTAAAATTCAACTAATCCCAATATTAACTGATGGTATGTTGCAGTGTTTTTCCTTTTTTGTTAAAGAATAAAACAATGCCTTATTATCACTCTTTATTTCTGTACTACTCAGGTCTTGACTATGTTGTTTTGTTACAGATCCCAGGATTGTACAATCAAAGTTTGGGAAACCACACAAGGGAAGCTAATTCGGGAACTGAAGGTATGCCTCACCCTTCACAATTGAACTTTTTATGTACTTGTTTAAAATTTCAATTGTGATTATTATTATGTACATCTACTGTAACTTTTTGGTGCCAACTTTTTCTTCATATAAGTTATTTTATGTTATCTTTCCCATGTATTTAATGTGTAACAGTGTAATTGCCAAATGGAATTTTACTATCTAAATCCTCAAGGATTTTACGAAGTTTTTCCTTTTGATTTATAGTTTGAGTGCAACTGTAAACTTTTAACACTATCATCCAATGTGTTGATACGTCATTTAAGAAATTGACTTTCCTGGCATGAGGATCAGACTCTTCTATTGTTCATTTGTACACGATGATCAAAATAAATCACTAATACTTTGGTTTTATGTTCTTCCATGTTGCCTTATAAATGGAGAAACTTTATTTATCAACTACATTTTAATAGATAAATCTATTATGCAATTTATTTATTTATTTAAAAAATTAATTAGAGGTTATGTTGGGAAGAAAAAAATGTTGGATTTTCATCTTCACTATAGTTAATAGATTGGATTGGAAAACTTCGTTCCATTGAGTTTCTCTTTCTTTTTGGTTGTTTTTTGTTTTAATCTCTTGTTTAGGAGGATTGTTTATCTCTCATTTTCCTTATATTATTTTCTGTCTCAATGAATATTTTTCTTATTTAAAAGAAAGTTTATCACAAAACACAAAAAGCACCCTTCTGACAATGAGTTTTTTATACTTGTGCATTAAATGCTTTGCTTATATTTTGATAAATATAATATTCATGTTTTGCTTGTGATGATGTCATTTTATTATCTTTTCTTTTCCATACTATTTGCTTTCTTCATGTTTTGATATTTATTTTAGGGACATGGCCATTGGGTTAATTCTTTAGCATTGAGTACCGAGTATGTTCTTCGCACCGGAGCTTTTGATCATACTGCAAAACATTTGTCATCTCCAGAGGAAATGAAGAAGGTAACTAGTTTTTTTATCACAGTAATGTTAGACCTTTGATCCATAATTGTGCTGTTAGTTACAAAACCTCGTAGGCCACAATAAACCCAGATTTCTGGAATTGGATCTTAATATAGAAGTTAAAAAATTTTCATTTGTTTCCAACATTTTTTAGACCAAACCAGATATTAAATGACCTATTTTGAAGAATTATTTGTTCCCTCATTCTATATTGCTTTAATTTTTGTTAATTCACTCTATATTGCTATTACTTTGGGAATAGTATGTATCAGATATTTATTTATTTATTAGAAGAAAATATATTCTTACTTTTTCTGCCGGGTTTTTAGTTACAAATATACTTTTTGTGCAGGGTTAAAAGAAAATGTATTTTGATAGAACATGGTTTTATAGATATATTCAACTTCCAATCAATTGACTATATTACTTCTAGTTATTCTTTGAGTTGCCCCTTTCAGTCCATTAAATATTGTTTCTCTACTTCACAAGTTCCTTTCTCTAGAAATTACTTTTTCATCTCTGTTTTACTAATACCAGTTTACGTTGCTGATGTATATAGGTAGCTCTTGAAAGGTACAAATCAATGAGAGGTAATGCCCCTGAGAGATTGGTCTCTGGATCTGATGATTTCACAATGTTCCTCTGGGAACCCTTCATCAACAAGCATCCCAAAACCCGCATGACAGGTCATCAGCAGGTATTTATTTTTGCTTAGGATTTTAAAATATGCCAATGAGAACAAACCAAAGTTATTCTTTCTTCAAATTGCAATGTGCTTCAGTTAGCATCACTATTATTGATTAGAAAAACAGGATTTGAAAGAATTATCTTATATAGCTGTTCTTGATACACATAAAATGATTAAAAAATAAGCTATAATAAAACTATTGAGATACTAAAGTATTTGCATGCCTCTCTTTTACTTAATAGATGCTGTTGGTCTTTTAGTATTAATTTACTTTGTTGTCATACAGATTAAATCACAATTCTTCAAGTTATAATTTTCTTTATATGCATTATTATGCACACTCCATCTTTTAAGGTTAATGATTTCATAATGAATGATACAAGTTATATTTGTTTATTGACAGCTTGTGAACCATGTCTATTTTTCGCCTGATGGGCAATGGATAGCAAGTGCTTCTTTTGATAAATCTGTGAAGATATGGAATGGAACTACAGGGGCATTTGTCACTGTCTTTCGTGGCCATGTTGGGCCTGTTTACCAGATCAGGTATAGCATGGCTGATTCAATCTTATTTCAAATTTCTAGCCAAAGATATTTCGTTGAAACTGCAATTAACTAACCATATTGACTTTTACTATACAGCTGGTCTGCAGACAGTAGACTTCTTTTAAGTGGAAGCAAAGATTCTACTCTTAAGGTAACCATTTTGTTTATTTTTGGTTGATATTTTTGATTTGGTTTGTATAGTTGAACCTATAAAACCAATGGGTGTGACTCAGTTGGTTAAGCAGCGCTCAATTTGTGGGGAGTACCATGGTTCAGAACCCGCAGAACATACTACCGGGGAAGGGTGAAAAGAGCTTTAAGTTGCACCCTAAGCACTTGAGCAGATATCAGTTCTATAGTCGGTCCAAAGAATCGAAGTTTTTGGAGAAAAATACTCCTTGGAGCCACTAGGGTGCTAAAGACCCTAATTACAGTGGTTTCCGGCCAAAATAGTAGAACCTATCATTTGTGAAACAAGAACTCTGACCATACATTCTGTTTGTTTTTCAAGGTTTGGGATATTCGGACTCGCAAGTTGAAGCAAGACCTTCCAGGCCATGCGGATGAAGTATGTTATAGATGCTAAATAATTGAGTGATTTAAAAAAAATTCCACTCTGGTTGCTAACCTAAGTTTATATTCTTGCTGTGAAGGTGTTTTCTGTTGATTGGAGTCCAGATGGAGAGAAGGTGGCTTCTGGGGGTAAGGATAAAGTGTTGAAGTTGTGGATGGGTTAGGGCTAATTTTTGGATCAACATTGAGAATCTATTCTCCATGCTGTTGCCTATGCATGGAAATCAATGGCTGGCTATTGTGTGGATGCAAGATCATCTGTAAACTAGAGGATATGAATGTCTATTCCACATACTATATTGCCATCGAGATTAGGCAGTCAAAGAACAAGTTGCTCAAATCGAGTCTCAAGTAAAGAAGCTGCCTGAATTGCTTAGGGATCTATTATACGCTTGCGAGAATATACTTCATTGCTTTTTTATTTATTTATATTTTGTCCCATTTTAACCGTTAGGATATTTTGTTGCTAATTATAAATTGAGTATATCCAAGGGCTAGCTCTAAAGATGGCCTTTTGTTTGCCTTGACACTACACTAGTGTTAGAGTAAGTCTTTGCATGGAGTACTTTTATATTTAAAATTTGAATGTGAGGAAAATAATTTGCATATTCTTGATTTTCATTTTTCTTTATTCTGTTGGGATTGTCATTTGAAATTTTAAATTCCAAATTAAAATGGGTTCGAATCATGAGTTAATTGTGACCGTAGTATAGTTCTGTTGATAGAAAAGATGTAGTCTGGGATTGAAATTATTACAAGGAGCAAAACATGTGCTGGCATTTGGAACACTTTCTAACTTTCTTTGTAAAGAACATCAATCTCGTGAATTTCCAGTTGAACATTTAATGAATCTTCATTGTTACCAATTAACAAAGATTATAATTTATATTCTATAATTCAAACTTAAGAATAGGAATGGAGTCAATGGACAGTTTCTGAGAAAATGATAACTATTGTTCGAAGTTATGAACACAAATAGCACATGGCATTCCATCTAATTATGAAATTGTCCCGTTGTATACAATTCACATGGCATTCCGTCTAATTAAAAGAAACACTAATCTATACAAAAACTTGTATAAAAATATATTAATAGTTTACAAATAGATACTCGAAACAAGATCTTTCTTATCGTACCATCTCTAAAGCACTAGATCCGGATATGTCTTATTGATCAAGCAACCGCTACATTTTTGGTTGCAAGCGTGAAACTTTTCCAAGAAAAATGCAGCACAGTTTGCTAGATGAAAGGAAATAAAGCATACTCAGCATAGAACAGGTTCCATATGAATCTATAAAATTCTGATATTGCTTCCTGCAACATATTGTCAAACATTTAATCAAGCAATAGTGGCAGAAAAAAAAGATATAGTAGATATAAAGTTCAACACTTAAACTATCAAAGATGGTAATATTTACCTTTGTATAATTTGCTTTTTCTAATATCCGCACCTGAAGTACATGAAAATAAATCATGTCATTTTCCGATCTCAGAACTTATTAGCGTGCATTTAGAAAAATAAATAGACAAGACACTAATCTACTTATCGAACCTGGTAAATCAAGCTTGATGCAAAAATTGTATGAGCTGGAATCAGCAACCATTGCCGGAAAGCCTGTTAAAAGTGACAAGTCTTACATAAAGTTAGTTTAAATGTGAAGAATATGATAAGTGATTATGACATGAGATAAGTTTAATAGTCACCTGTGGCATATAAATTGCTGCCAATACGCTAACAACATAGTTCATTAGCAAAATTCCAGCACCAAGGAAAGAAATGTTCCGAACTCCTAATTTTGTAGCAAAGGTCGATATCTGATACCTGCAACAACGAATGTAGCAGATTAAGAAACATGCAAGCATGCGCACGCCCACACACGTGTATGTAGTGACATAAATTAAATGATGTATCACCAATCATCAGTACTGATAAATAAAATCAATGAACTTGCAACCGTTAACGTAATTTGATCACAAAACGTACCTACGATCTCCTTCAACATCTGGAAGATCTTTTGTTATAGCAATTACCAATGCGAAAAATGTTACGAAAGTTGTGATAAAAACCACAGAAGAGCTGCAGGTAGATATACAAGAACAAATGCATAAACATCATTACGAATTTTGTTCATCATAATAGGAACATCATAGTTCATAGTTAGTATGAGCTTTAACGAGTCTCTATTTGAACAAAATAGGCAACCATGATCAACTTTGTTCAAAACTTCATTGATTACAAAAATACAAAGCAGCAGCGATTAGCTCTTGCTCACCTCCACTCAAAAGCAAGTCCAAGAGCAGCTCTAGTAGCATAGTACACGCCAAAGTTAAGTAGAAAACCTCGTACCTGTGTAAGTTTCTTTTGTTAATCATGTTCATCCAACTAGATTCATCCGAAAAAAACTGTGAATTGATTCCAGTAGCAACTACTCCCTCCGTTTCAAAACGAGTGTCGTTTTATAAGAAAATTATTGTTTCAAAATAAATGTCATTCTCACTTTTCAATGTAGTAATAATTGTTATTTTTCCAATTATGTCACCTAATTATTACTTTGTAGTTTGTACACTATTTTCAACACATTAATAAGACTAATTTAGTAAAAGTGCATTATCTTAGAAAAACATCATTGCATTCCTTAATTTGTGTGCAAAAACCTTTAAACGATAGTCATTTTGAAACGGAAGGAGTATTTTTTATACAGACTAAAATTGACAAATTACATTTAGTACTGCAAAGATTGGGAAGAAAGGAGGTTATATCATACCGTAGCGATAATAAGAAATGCTGCGACTGGAAACTGTTTCATCCTAAGTGGAGGAACGGAATAGATAGTACCGAGAAAAAGGCCAAAGGAGTAAAGAGAAAAAATAAAGGGTCCAAAGTTCAATCCTACAATCAATAGGCCAGCTGCTGCAAAAAATATGACCAAGAACCATGCAGATTGGACAGAAAGATCTCCGGCAGCTATAGGTAAATAAGGCTTGTTTACCCTGAAAAATGAAATAGAAGAATATTGAAATTTGGCAAGAAATGTGCTAAAGGTGATGAAAGAAAGAGAAAAGAATGACGAGAAAAAGGTTAAGTAATAAGACAGTTATCAATATAAGTCAGTATCATACTTGTCAATGCTAATGTCATATATTTGATTGATGCCAACTATATAACCGTTCCCACAAATCAGAGCAAAAAGACCAGAGAATGCTTTCAGCAAAAGAGACCACTTTATCATATTTGAGTTCTCGATCAACGCTCTTGACACCAAAGCACTGTAATGCGAACAAGAGATAAAACGAAAGTAAGTCCAATTGTAAGAATCGGCTTGTAACTGCAAGAAACACATTAATGAAGGTTATAGAGTTGCTCACGCGGATCCTAGTGCTGTACCACGTATAGTATGTGGCCTCAAAAATCTCCAGAATGCATCTTTCAAATCTAAAACTTTGTCAACAAATGGACGATCGGATCCAGCAGCTCCAACATCACTGCCGGCCTGCCAGCGTTTTAATTTAAATTTGTCAAATATCAAATATCAAACCAAAACCAATTGATGCCGCCATCATTATTTTTTGCTTTTGTTAAATAAATAGATTTCAATCTTAATCAATACAGAATCTTTTTCTTGAGGGGTAAAAAATACATAATCAAAATATTGCAAGTTTGATTTATTAAGATTTACTTTAATAACTTAGTTCTGATAAATGCTACATACAGGTTCGATAAATGCCACGACCAAACTTCGGTGCTGTGAGTTATGACTAAACTAAGAAAAAGACTAAAATCGGTCTCTGTTGCACGCATACGGGTTCGGTGTTCGTACTCGATACAAATATGCGTACAAGATAAAGTGAATTTAAAAAACTAAGGTACAGGTAAGTTAGTGTAGTAAACTATAAAAGATCAATATATAGAAATAATAAATTATAATTTTGCATAACATAAGATGACAAAATTGTATAAAAGATAAAAGTAATTAAAGTTCAAAATTCATGCATGACATAAACACAACATATAAAGAGAATGAAATATTTGTAGATTGTTGTGGGAAAAAAAGTAATGGTATAAGAAATTAACAGACTCTGAAGTTAACCAATAATCAAACTTTGAATATTGATCATAAAAGAAGAAATTTGATTTATGAATGTTATTGGACAACAAATATGGACACTAACAAAAACACAAAGAATCCAAGCCAAAATCCATATCCAAAACTAATCCAAATTCAGAGCCATTTGAAAAACTTAAGAGATATTTTTGTGTGCATCTGTCATAGAGGCATGCCTACATTCCTAGGCGCATTCAATGAAATGAACATGTCAAAAGTTGCAATTACATACTTTATACATAAAATAAAAACACATGTATACATATATGCATCTATGAAACTTGGTCTCCAGACACTACAATTAACGGATAATAATTTGAGAAAATGAAATAGTTGAATGTAATCACGTATATTGGTATTGTGTCGGATCAATTCCACGTATATTGGTATTGTGTCGGATCAATTCGAACCTTCAATCTAGAATATTATGCCGTAGTATAGAGATATGTATGTATTAACATCCTCACACATAGACATGCATTCATACATACATTCATATGCATGTCTATATACAACAAAAACAATCAAACCTTATCCCACTAAGTGAGATTGGATATACGGATCAACTTTTGCCATAATATTAGGCTAAATAGGGGCTGTATATTTTGCCAAAGATGAAACTTGGGTATATTGGGAGCACTAGATAGAACCTCAAAAAAAATTCAAGACGGAACCAAACTTAAAACCCACCAAAATTTTCCTAAAAAATCACAAGCAAATAAATAAAAATTGAAGCTTTAATGGAGAAAACAAAAAACACACCATACCCTGACGGAAATAGGTCTGTGTTGTTTCTTTGATTTTGAAACATAAGTTGTGGAACTTGTGTGATGATGATGATGGTAAATCCCAATTGAACGAAGGTGTTTGGAGGTTGTGGACTTGAGAGAAGTGGGTGGTTTCAAAGAGTAGTGGGAAGTGGAATTCAGTGTGGGGATTATGGAAGAATGTGAATATGAAGAAGAAGTAGAGAGCTCCATAAGGAGCTGAAGACAGAAGTCACTCACAATCTCAAACACACAAACGTTGCTGGAGGAGGAGGAAGTGTTCTTGCTTATGTGGGGTCAAAATCGTTCTACCACTTCTTCAAATCATGTTATATTTTTGTTTAAAATATATTCAACATTTATTTTGGTTTTTCTATGAAAAAAAATCAATTCTTTTAAAACAAAAAAACAATAATTATAAAATTTTATACTTACTTTATAAATATTTGTATATTTTTTAATAATAATACTAAAATATAATTGATGCATCTCAATGACATTTATATCTTATTTTCAACAAATTTTCACAATAATTTTCTTTATTATATAATATTTGTTCTAGGCTAATAGACAATGACATAGTGCAGAAGCCCAAACATGCATAATTCAATAGAAATTATTCAACATATATAGTCAACACAAGTGAGATTTAAGGTATATTTTGTTGATTTCCACTTTTCATTTCAATGACTTGGTTTTAGAGTGACAACCTTGCAAGTTCAGTCTGCGTCATCGTGTCTGAGATCAAACATTACCACTTCAGGAGTTCAACATCATCAATCAACATCAATCTTGGTTCCCTCGTGGAATAATGGCGTTGTCTGTAGGAATTAACATTGAATTCCCGTGAAATTCTACAATCAAATTTCGTTTGATCCAAAGCCAAATCACAAGGAAATCACATATTAAGCTCATTTGAGCCTCAACCTTACAGTAAAATACATTTCATTTTGCTTCCCTTATCCAATTATTGACTCTGATGATTGTAATTAAGAAGATCTATAATGAAACTCTATGACGAAAATGATCCCTTTGTTATCACCAGATCTCTTTATCTGAAAGGGAAACCGAAAGAAATCGCGAATTAGCGTTATCACGGTTGGAGAAACGAACTTTTGCCATAAATTAAATATCCTTTTTATCATAGTGACAAGTTGTATCATACTGAAAAACTCAATCTACATTAGAAATTGAAGAATTTGAATATAGCTCGAGATGAATACGAAAGCAGATCTCCCACGCAATGGCTGAAATAGAAGGAGAAAGAAAATCTCGTGGATCCAGCAAATCCGTCAGTCACTTAAGGAAGGAGACATGACAATCAAATTTACCTCTACCACTGGGCCAACTGAACAGACCTACAAAACAACTCAAGCTAACAAGACGCCTTTTCTAAAGGACAAAGTCGTTAGAATTCTTATCAGGTTGGCTTTGTGGGTGTGAAAGTAGGCTCACCACACCGAGCCTTCAAATTAGAGGTTGTCCCCTTTGAAAATATAAAATAAGTTAAATGTGTGTCTGTGTGTGTGCGTGTATGTGTGTGTATGTGTATATATATATATATATATATGTGTGTGTGTGTGTGTGTGTGTGTGTGTGTGTGTGTGTGTGTGTGTGTGTGTGTGTGTGTGTGTGTATGTGTGTGTGTGTATATATATATATATATATATATACACACACACACACACACACACACACACACACACACACACACACACACACACACACACACACACACATATATATATATATATATATATATATATATATATATATATATATATATATATATATATATATATATATATATATATATATATATATATATATATATATATATATATATAGAGAGAGAGAGAGAGAGAGAGAGAGAGAGATAACAAACTTGTTATTTTTTAGGAGTGAATTAAGGAGAACCTTTGGATGTGAATGCATTTCAATCCTTTGCGATCACTGGAAGGGGAGGCCTTGTGTGGTGGGAAGTTTCTGGAAGGATTGTGTCCCTTCATGGTAGTCAGTAGAGGTCGATATGGTCGGCCCAGAACAATTGTCCCCCAAGCCATTGCTTATGCACAACAAGGTGAGGGTTTGTTGCGTTAGCCTCAGATTTCGACCACTCTTTCATTCGCTTTAGGAAGAGCGAAAGTGAAATGTTTCAGTTTCTTAGAGATTCGTCCATTTAATGATCCACACTTCAAACGCCTTTCAAACGTGTCATCATTACGACTCTTGGGAACTTAAACACTCGAGTATTCCATGCGAGTGATTTGACATGTTCTGTAGAGTCTATTCTCTTTTGCATACTAGTGCATAGTTCCTGAAGATTCAACATTGTTTTTCCTTAAGTTAATTTTTCAATTTAGAGTTTATCTTCCCTTTTGACACTTTGCTTCCTTACATATGAAAAGTTAGTGTGTAATGGGTAAAACAAAAGAAGGCTCACAAAAGCTAAAAGAAGGTACAATCTTCATGGGTAGACATGTTTACTCTTCCACCGTTCCTATCTTTACAAAATAAGCCCATCTTGATGGGGTCTTTTTTGGAAGTTAGACCTTATTTGCATTAGGGTATTTTGACCCCGAGTGAAAATGAAGGATAAGCAGCGAATATGGAGATTTTCATTCCTTTTACGAATGTGTTTTCTCAGCATTGGGTCTTCGTTTTCCCTTTACTACCTTCGACATAAAGGTTCTCAATCATTTGGTAATGGCTCATTCATAACTTCACTATGCAAGTTATACATATGTGAAAGTCTACTAGCATTGATGTGAATACTTGAAGGTGAATCCTTCTTGTAGATGTTTTTGATTGGCTGCATTTTGTGGCAAAACATTGATGTATGTGTGAATGTCATGACTGATGTTATGACATACATGTGGAGAGTACTGCAGGGTAAGTTTAGCTAGCTAGAGCAAAGTGAATTGGATGTCATGCTGGATGTTATGACATCAAACAATTGACATCAGGGCGCGTGTTTTAGGTTCTGGTATATTGCATGAGGAAGCTCAGGCTATACTTCAAGAAACATTTTAGGGATCCTAGTTATCTCAGGCGAAATGCTAGGCAATGCTGAGGATAACATGAAATGTCTCTAACCTAATTGGGAGTGCGCAACTTTATGAAAAGAGGTTTAACTTAGCTAAACCTAATTTCTGCACTTAGGCCCAAGATCTTTCTGCTACTTATAAATAACAAAGTAGCAATCCTAATTGAAGAGTCCTTGACAGAGCTTTGGAGATAGAGAGTGCAGAGTGTTTGTGAGTGAAGTATTCAGTTTGTGTACTGTGATCTTCATGTGTGTGTTTGTGTCTTAGGATTTCTTATGAGCCAAGCAATTATCTCCTGTATGATTGCATTAGACTAGTGTGTTTTGAGTTGTACTCTGATCGTGTCACTCTAAGATTTTAAGCACGAGTGTTGTGTCTCTTGATTGAAGCTGTGAAGCAAGATCAAGATTTGTTTGAAGTGTATTTTCATTTAATCTGTAACTTTAATTGGTTGATATCACTGCTGTGATTGAGGGGGGGTGAGTGGGAACTCAAGTCTAGTGTTAGGCTGAAGTTGCATTGGGTAGGTCTTAAGTGAAGAATGCAAACTGGTTGTTTGAATCTGAATTAATTCTGCTTATAGTGAATTTCCTCCCTGGCTTGGTAGCCCCTAGATGTAGGTGTGATTAACACTGAACTAGGTCAATAATTCTCTGTGTTATTTACTGCTTTCATTTCCTGGTTATTGTTAAGTTCTGTAGTTTGATCAGTAGTGATGTCATAACATCCATTGTAACATCAATTGTCTATTACTAGAATTTCAATTGGCATCAGAGCAGGCACCTTATTATTATCTGGGTAAGATCTAGGAAAGATAAATTCTGGTACTATGGACAAGGATATAGGATTCACAAATAGACCACCAATTCTGGATGGCTCTAACTATGACTACTGGAAACCTCGTATGATAGCTTTCTTGAAGTCTCTAGATAGCAAGGCCTGGAGAGCTGCTAACTCAGGATGGGAACATCTGGTGAAGACTGATAAAGATGGATCATCTGTGTTAATACCTGAAGAAGAATGGAGCAAAGAGCAAGAAGCCCTGGCTCTTGGGAATTCTAAGGCCTTGAATTCTTTATTCAATGGAATAGACAAGAATATTTTCAGGCTTGTGCATCACTGTGAACTGGCCAAAGAGGTTTGGGATACTCTTAAAACAACTCATTAAGGTACCTCTAAGGTCAAAATGTCAAGATTACAGATGATGACCACCAAGTTTGAAAATCTGAGAATGAAGGAGGATGAGACTATTCATGAAATCTACATGAATATTCTTGAAATTGCCAATACCTCAGGAGCTTTAGGAGAAAAGATGTCTAAAGAAAAGCTTGTTAGGAAAATTCTCATATCATTTCCCAAAAGGTTTGCAATGAAAGTGACTGCTATTGAAGAGGCTCAAGACATCACCAACATGAAGGTTGATGAACTCATTGGCTCTCTCCAAACCTTTGAAATGGGAATGTGTGATTAGGTTGAGAAGAAGAACAAAAGCATAGCTTTTGTTTCAAATACTGCAGATGACTCAGAGGAAGACAATGGTGAAAATGAGGAGAATTTGTTAGAAGCAATAGCCTTGCTTGGAAGACAATTTAACCAACTGATCAAAAGAATAGATCATAAGTCTAGACCTAATGTCAAGAACATTTCTTCTGACATTAGTAGAAGAGGTAAATATGAAGATAAGTCTAACCAAGGCAAAGGAATTCAGTGCCATGAATGTGAAGGATATGGTCACATTAGAGCTGAATGTCCCACTTACCTCAAGAAGCAGAAGAAAGGACTAAATGTCACTTGGTCAGATGGAGATTCTGAGAGTGGTTCAGAAGAAGAGTCTGCAAAACATGTCAATGCACTAAATAGTGTATGTGTATCTGATGATGAGTCTAGTGAAGATGAACTTGCATCTTCATATAAAAAGCTATGCATCAGAAGTGCAGAAATTTATCAACAAGGGGAGCATCAGAGGAAACTCATAAGGGAGTTAGAGGCTGAGAAGATAGAGCATCTTGCAACAATAGACTCACTTAACAGTGAGGTCAGCTTGTTGAATTCTAAACTTGATCAGATGTCAAAATCAATTAGGATGTTAAACAATGGGACTGACACTCTAGAAGAAATTCTACAAAGTGGTCGGAAAACAGGAGACATGTCTGGACTAGGACTTGT